CACGCAGGTCACCAATAATTAATCCAGGCAGGCTGGGTCTCACGGTGCTTGCAAACACCCTGTTAGCCTGGAGGCTTTGGCAGAGCAGGGGCAGCACTCAAACTTCCTCAGCAAACAGCAGACATGCATTTAACTTTCGAGGAGGAAAGGGAGTCTTGCTGTTATTGAAACCACTTGTGCTGTGCTTGCACTGCAGCACTGGGTGCATCCACGTGGCAGAGCTGCCAATCCTGCAGCTCACCCTGGCTTACTGACAGGCCCAGGGTTTAGTGCAGGTGGTCACAGTTTGCATCTCATTGGGAGTCTAAAGAGATCTCGGTTTAGGGTCTGTTCAGTGCAATATTTCTAGAAGGATTTGCAGAACTCAGTGCTTTGTGTGCTTTTTAGCAAGCCTGGCTGCTGGACGGTGTCCCTTGGTACAGCTGCTCTGATGCAGGTAGCAGAGTTAAAGCAATAAATCTCAGCTCCCATTTACCCTACCAGACAAAGGGGTTGTATTTGCAGAAGACCTATCTGTTTTCTCTAGCTGTATCAGTTGGCCTAGCAACATATTGCACAGAAGTTACAAATACCTTCTTCACAATGCTGCCCAGAGAAGTGCTGTACCTAAGCAGGTTTACTCTGCTCAGATAGAACTGCAGCAGCTTTACATAAATGGGAGCAATTAAGAGGCGAGCCCACAGACTTCCCTCAGATGTTAGCAAACAATTTGGCTGTTAATTTCTACCTGTTGGTGGATGCTTGAATTTCAATGAGTTGCAATTAAACACAATTAGCTTTGTGCACAGTTCTGGGAGGTAAGAGAGATGGAGGTTGCTGCAAGTCTCCAGCATGGGCTTGTGCTCCTTGTGCAGCTGATTGGCCAGGGAGAATGGCACAGCAGCTGTGGCAATGCAGAAGGCATCCTTGGCTCCTTGGCTTGTGGTTGGGACTTTTTGTCCAGCTCTGCAAGCACCTCAAGTGCTGTGTTCTTTTTTGGGCCCCTCAGCACAAGAAAGACACTGAGGTGAGGCACCGTGTGCAGAGAAGGGCAACACAACTGTGGAGGGTCTGCAACTCAGGTCTTATGCAGAGTGGCTGAGGGAGCTCAGGTGGTTCTGTCTGCAGAAAGGAAGGCTCAGGGAAGACCTCATTGCTCTCCCCAGCTCCCTGAAAGGTGGCTGTGGCAAAGTGTGGGTCAGCCTCTGCTCCCAGGTAACAGCGATAGGATGAGAGGTGATGGCCTCAAGTACTTCCAGGGGAGTCTCAGGTTTTAGGAAAAACTTTCTCAGAAAGCATGGTAATGCAGTGGCACAGGAGCTGCACTGGGGTCACGGTTCCTGGGGGTGTTCCAGACCCGTGGAGACGTGGCACTGAGGGTCATGGGCAGTGGGCATGGTGAGTTGGGCTGGGGTTGGGTTTGGCAATCTTAGATGTCTTTCCCAACCTGAATGACTCTGTAATTCAATAATTCTATGCAAGCCATTGCAGCAGCTCTCCAAAAACTGGCGTCTGAAGCAGAAAATCCTCTCTTTCCATTCTGAGGGACATCTAGCTGTGACATGAGGGATGAGACACCATCCCCTGAAGCTCTGGGACCTGTTCCAGCCCACGGTGCATTCACCAGGTGCCTCTCGTGCTGGTTTGGCTCCCACCGTAACACCAGGAAATGTGCTGCACAGACATCCATCAGCTGCACGTCGGTGTGCTGTCAGTCACTGTGATTTATTTAGGCTTTCAGTGCTGAACTGATTAAATTGCACATTCAGGGAAAGCGAGAGTTTCACTCCTAGCACCGACTGAAATTATTGCATCTGTCCAAAGACACCAGCAAAGGTTAACAGTGTCTGTTTACATTCCTCATAAAGAAAATCTTGTTAAACTCCATCTCACATATTTTACAGCCGTGCTAAGAGCCCCTGAAGAATACGTTGTCAGGAGGAATGGTTTTAATCTATTTATCTAATTTTATGCAGCAGGAGTGTATGCTGCTTAATTGGGGAGTTAGCAGGAATTCTGTGTTGTGACACAAAGAGCTTCCTTGTGCAAACACAGAGAACTTTGGTGGGTGATCTTTCCTTGCTGTCTTGCTGGAAAGGTCAGTGATTGTGGGATGTGCAGCACTGCAGACCAAAGGACTGCAGCCTTGCACACTGGAATGTAAGATCATTTGTCTTTTTCCACTTAACTTTTGTGCCTTGCTCTGGCCCTGCCTGTTGTTTTTCCTACCCACCCCTATTTTTAAAGGACTACACAAAAGCTGATCTTAATCCACGATAGCGATTGTGTGTTGATCAGTTCCCATCTGCTCCTCTCCAAAGTCAAGTTTGTACAGGCCTTGGGTTGATCCGAGTGATGGAGCTGCTTTCACCCCCATGGCCATCCCAGTCCTAAATGCTACCTCCATTTACACTTCTGTTAGCAGAAATATACCTATGGAAAGTGGCCTATAAAACTTGGAGAAGTCTGACCCAGACAGTGAAAGACCCCCTGCAGGATTTCTCTGCCTGTGATGCAGGCTTTGGCTCCGTGCTTCACCAGGAGGAAGCCAGCTGTCTGCTGGTAGCCCTGCTCCCATGCAGGAGGTCTTCTCCCCAAGACACTGTGTGAAGAGGTGATATGGCAGAGCCAACTCTCTGCTCCTGCTGTTCCCTTGGAGCTGAAGCACTGATCTGAACCAACCTGTCCAGGATGGGTGGGGGATCTGGCACCTGGGCCATAGAGAGCTGCTGGGCTCCTGCACCACTGACCCATAGGCTGGGGGGAGGAAGAGGCTGGTCATGCCCCAGGGATGCCATGATGGACAGGAGTACTGCCAAACCTCCAGCTCCCACCCACCCCTGGAGGCCCTGGGTGGGGGTTCTTGCAGAGCCATCAGTGCTGGAGCAGATGTAAAGGCACCAAAACTCCTGATTTGGTGTTTTCAGCTGGAGAAATGCCTGAAGCCCCAGAAGGGGCTGGAGTGCCCCTCACCACCATCCCTGTTCGTTCTGCAGCCCCTCAGTGACCAGATCCCCATGGTTCCATAGCACAGCCTCTCTGCCTCATTTCTAACAAGCCTGGTTTGCCTGCATTTGGAGCATTGCTTCTTGGCGTTCATGTTTGAGAATTACTGCTCGCAGTTTCCCTTTGACAGATGCATAAAAGAGCCAAGGGAAAAACCCAGAGCTGCTTGGCCACGTATTCACAGCTGTGTCCTGCAAGACCAAGGCAGTGACCACATGAAACAGCTCCAGGAATGGCACTGATGGGGGCCCAGCCCTGGGACAAGCAAGGAAGAGTGTGTTCTTCCAGGACTCTGCCCTATGATGCAGTCCAGCCCATAGTCCTTTCTGCAGCCAGGCAACAGCATGCACATGGCCTGGCCCTGATCTGCAGGAAGGGTTGCATTATCAGAGCCTTGTTCCCTTGTTCGTTCTGTTCCAGCTGATAAATCTGCATATCTCTGTGCCCACCCCTTCCCAGCACATGGGTGTATAAGAAAGGAAATAAATATTTTTCAAGGTGTAAGATGGAGAGAAGTTTTGTTCATTACTTTTTTTTTTTTTGAATCCCCACTGAGATTAAGGATTGTTGCCAAAAAAAAGAGAAGTATTTTACCATACTGGCATTTCTGTAGTCATAAAAGACTCACAGGCCCTGTGCACAGGATTTTTACTCTTTGTATTTTAAGGTTTTTCTCCATAGTATTTTATAACTCGCTTTGCCTTCAGCAATCAAAACTCTTCTTTGGTTGAGGAGAACCTAAAAATGCTCCTCACTGTGGCTCCTATCACACCTCAGCCCTGGAACCAGGTAGAACTTGGAGAATGAAATAAAGACCTGTGGAATAACCTTTCACCTCTTAAATAAAAAGATTTAGTGGCAGCACCATTTCCAAGCTGGATGTGTCTCTGGGCAGCCTGGTCTGGGGGTTGGTGACCCTGCACAGAGCAGAGGGGTTCAAACTAGATGAGCATTGTGGTCCTTTTCAGATCAGGCCATTCCATGATTCTGTGATTCTATGCAATATGAAAGGCTGCTCACAGAGCCATGTGTAGGTGACCCCAGGAGCACGGAGAGGATTTTTCAGTTTTCCTCTCGCACAGTGCAGCTTTCTAGCATGCAAAACCCACAGAAGGGCTCTGCTGTTGTGAGGGGCAGCTGAGAAACGAGCAGAGGAAATAGCCCTGGGGAGTGCGCTGCTGCAACTGGAGAAATAGCTTGGTACTTGGACAGGCGAGTGCTCAACACCTTCTGCAAATCATTAATAATAATAATAATAGTAATCATCATCATCATCATCATCATCATCTTCATCATCATCATCTCTGCCACCCACGCATCCAATGGGAAATGCAAGCTCCCTACTGGGAAAATGGCCTTGACAGGAGCCAAGAGTGACAGGAGCTGGACATGAGGGCTCTAACTCTTTCCCAAAGGAAAGGCATTAAGCATATAAAATACATATGTTTTCTGTTCAGCAGCTGTTGGGTTTCTCAGCCCCAGGGCCATAACAGGGCTGTGAGGTTTGGGAAACTGACCCAGGCTCTTTCTGCCTCTCCCAGCCAGAAATGCTGCTGAATCAGTGAAATGGGATTGTGCATCTGCAGGCCACTGTCTTCAGTTAAATCCCTGGTGAGCATGGCTTTGAGCTGCTCTGCTCCGGGGTGCTGATGGTGGTGATCACAAGTCTGGCTCTTTTTGATGGAAACCACCACCACTGGATTTGCAAAATTCAACCCCAGCACATCCTCCACACTCGCTAAAGGTGTGTAGACCTTGCTTGTTTCTAGGTCAGAAGTGGATTCTTCCTTTCCTTACCTATTTCTAGAAAAACAAAATGAAACAAAACAAAACAAAACATGGGAGAGGAATTGTTTGCATAACTTTGTAGGTTTGTAGGCTTGCAGTCAATTGAGACCCAGGCTCAGCCAAGGGCTCCGTCTGGATCCTGAGCCCCGCCGAGCTCTGTGGGCAGCAGCAGAAGGACCCAGCAAGCAGGCTGCTCTCACTCATCGTCCCCTCTGTCTCCTTTGCAGGCCCTCTGATGAAAACCACCCCCAGGTGAAGCCTGATGCCTATGTGAACAACCTGGCCGAAGCGGTGGACACGATCCTCAGCCAGATGTAGGAGCAACGGTGCTGCAGAGAGCTAAGGGGCCAGGATGGTGCCTTGCATGTGGCATGGCCACCAGCTGCTCCATCCTCTGTCTCCCTGGTGTGCAGAACACCCGTGCTTCTGAACTGTTCACCCAAGGGACTAAACCAAGACTCACCTCAACAGAGGGAACACCAAACCCCCTGTGTGCGTTTTGAGCTTCCTTCCCCTCAGTGCCATCCAAGTGCCAGCAAAGCCCTTTAGGGACGAGGATGACTCTGTGGGGCAAGGAGAGCAGTCACATCCTGCGGGGTCTGGGTACTGGTGTGCTTCCACAGTGCATTGATGGGATCCAATGGGCATCCCAAAAACCCTGTGGGACTGTCAGAGCACGCTGGGCAAGGCTGTGGTTGTGTTTCCATCCTGGTTTCCAGCACCTCTCTGGCACTGCCCTGAGTCAGAGGGCAGGAATTCAGGAATGCTGTGACAAATCACAGAATAATTGTGTTGTTGTGCCCTTTAATAAACACGGTCCTGTGAATCTAATCCCGTTGTTGCTGTGTTCAATTGGATCAGCACCCCCAAAGGGTTTGAAGCGGACATCTCCAACAGGGGCCTATGGTTCCTCCTTCCCTTTGCAGGGCAGACTGGTGAGCAGGCAGGGCTGCTCACTCCAAACAGAGAAAATTACAGATTTGGGATGGCTTCCCCACCGTCAGTGCCTCTGCATTGTGTTTGCAACCTTTTAAAATCAAAAGCTTTCAAGTGCGGTCAGCAGCTCTGCACCCCTTGAATTTTAGGCAAGACTTTGTGCCTTAGAGTGGAATGGAATGAGACCACGTGGATTCTGGCCTCCTGTGGGACCACAGAAAGGTTATTTAAACACAAAGAGCACGTGTGTGTATGTACAGCATGCTGCCTGCATCCAGCTACTGCTGTCTGAGTGCAGTAAATGACAATTCCAGCTCGGTTTCCAGCAGCCCACAGAGCTAAGGTGACCCCAGGCACCGATGCACTGCTCTGTGTTTCTGTACCGGGTGCGTTGCAAAGGCTGCACCCCTTGGGGACAGCAGAGGGAATGTGGGCTAGGAGTTCAAGTGCAATAAAACAAACTACATCTGGGAAAGTGACCTTAGCGGTGTCTCTTGTTCTGTTTTTCTATCTTTTACCCTCAGGGCAGTGGTTCAGCCAAAGTCTACAGCTCCATATGCATCCACACACACATGGAGGATGCTGTAAGCCACAGTCCAGCATTAGTGCTTGCAGTGGGTCACTGATGATTTCTTTTTTATCCTGTAATTCTTCTGTTTTGTTCTGTTCTGCTAAGCCTGTTGGTCAGATTGAAGTTAGGCAGACAAACTTTTTGGATTGTTTGCTCACTTAAGGAAATGCAGCCGTTCTGCTTTCTGGTTTAAGAAATAAGTGAAGGTGAGGACCAGAGCACAGGATGTAGGATACTGTCTGACTTCCACAGATAACAGAGGCCCTGTGTGCCTTTACCTGGGCTTCCTGCCTTGCTCAGCCTCATACTTTAAGGACAGGACATCATTAGATGTTAAAGTTAGGGTAGTGTGATTAGGTTGTGGTTGGACTTGATGGTCTTGAAGGTCAGAGCAATTCTATGATTCTACGATTACCTCTGACCTTAAACAAGAAAGCAAAGACCCTGCTTGGCACTCAGCTCTGTGATTCTCCATCGCCTCTCTGAGCACCATCAGAGCACAGAGCTCCCCCCCAGCTCCACATATGAGCTCTCCTACCACCACAAGAGCTCCGACCCACAGCGGCGCGTGGGAGCACAGAGAGGCGAGACGCCGGCCGGGCCGAGGGCTATGGAACCAGGAAGCTTTATTTACACAGTAAAAGTAACAAGCAATTTCCTGAGACTGAGCTGCTCTAGTGCAATCAAGTCATGGAGAGGGGACAGGTCAGCAGTCTTCTTGCCCACCCCGGGGCCACCTGCAATGGCCCGGGCACACACATAACCTCTGCGCTTGTGCAGTGTGCAGAGACGTTGCAACGACAGGGCAGAGCTTCAGAAGGCTTTTTGTTGTTGTTGCCGTATTTCTTTCTTGTTGTGTTTTTTTTTTTTTTTTTTTTTTTTGTTGATTTTTTTTTTTTTTGGCCATCCTCTTCTTTTGATTTCTTCCACATCGAAAACATAAAACTCCGTAAAGCACTGCTACAATCCTAGAATATCCTACATCAGTCTGTTATCCTGTTCAGCCAGGAGCTTTGAAACAAAGCACTGAAAACACAACTGTATTGGCCAAGGAGGCTATGCTATAACGTGAAAAAATTACAATCTATGTTACAAACACTTCTTCCCATCTTTTTGTCCAAGATGTAATCTTCCTTAGAACAGGCTCGAAACACGTGCGTGTGTTACCGGTGCTAAGCGTTTCTCTATCCAAACCCTTTATTTCCTTAATGCTGCAATCTTATTGCTGATGCCACGGCCTGCTGTCATCCTGAAGCTGTCGGATTGGGTCAAGCCTTCAACAAGCCATGGGCATCTTCACAACCACAAGCCTGCGAGCTGCAAGCAAAGGCCTCCACCTGCACTGCAGTACCACGTTCTGGCAGGGCTTTGCTGCAGGGGTCCCCAGGGAGGTCCTCTAACAACCAGTGGAGCCCTGGGAGCCCCTGGGCTGCAATGGATCTCATGGAGCTCGCACCGCATCTAACTACAATCAACAGGATGTCCCCTGGATCTGAGGCACGTACTATATTATATTTAATATTTTTATTTTTTTTTTATTTATATATATATTTATATATATATAAATCCACAACTGTTTTACCTCTACAGAGAGAGAGATTTTTTTTTCTTTCTTTTTTTTTTTTTTTTTTAAGTAAGGCTTTCTCAAACTGAAAACAAGTACATGAAATCATACGAAACCAACAGAGAAACACCCGACAGAACACCACTGTGGCCTACAAACCGTCACTGCAGTCTGTGTCTAAGCTAATGTGCCCGGTATAAGGCCATTACTCATTGGAGAAGCATCTTTAGTAAGGCAAACGGGTTGTGCTGTATGTAAACTGTATGCTACGTCTGTGTCAGGTACAGCCGGCGGCCGCTCGGTCACCGTCATACTGCATGGGGTGAGCATGTCCTAGGTAGCAGCCCTTGGAGGGAGAAAAGAGCCCTTGTTACAGCCCCACGTGTGCATAGGCAAGCGTGCCCTGAGCTCTGCGGGAGCCCGGGGCTGTTATGGGGGTTTGGGACATCAGGAAGACTCAAAGCCAAAATATGGTTGCGTTGCTCCTGGGGATACGGGCCGGCAGATGCCACATCCCAAAGGCCCTTGACTCGTAGAGCGCTGGGCTTTGGGCCTCCCACGAGGGGTGTGCAGCCAGCGTGGGTTGTTTTCAACAACACATTGAGAGACACTCGAAGAGAGATGGAGGATTCCCCAACAGGAGAAGGCCCCGGCACCGCTCTGCAGGGAGCTGAGCTGACCGCGGCCACAAGCAGACGTAAAGCTATGAGTGGATGGGATGGGGGAACGCCCAAAACCCTGCAGGAAAAGTGCAGTAACGTAACAGCAGGGATCGGTAAACCTGCGTCGGCTGCTCTCAGCCTCTTCTGGCTTGCAGACTCCCAGCGGGGTGTTGGACCCCTGCTGAAGGGGTTGGGATCCATTGGGATCACTTCATTTTCCCTTTGTGCTTTTGCAGAACTTGGGAAATAACCCCAAGGAACCTGCAGAAGACGCTGGAAGCCGCACGTACGGCTTTCCAAGAGATTTAAACAAAAGGGGACAAAAAAATAAGGACGTGTCCTTCTAAACCAGTTAGCAAGCAGACAGCTTATTTCATGGAGGAGCGTATCTCGTACAAACGCCATGGTCACCGCTTTATCTGTGCTTCAACAAGGCACAGCGAGAGGGAAAGCTTTCAGTGCTGCTACCTGAATTTTCAGCATTTTGACAGCTTACTTTTGTCAAGTAATCCTATGGCACTGGACAGGGATCCACTTCACAGTCAGAGCAAAAAGAGTGCGGCAGCCACGCGATGGTTGGCGAGGGGCCGAGCGCTGCTGGATCCTCATCAGGAAAAGGAAAATCAAGAATCTGTATAAAAAAAATGATCCAGCTCTTACCATCAATAACTTGCAGCAAAAATTGTGGTTTCCATCTGATGGCACTGCCAGGGGCTGGAGGATCAGCGTGGGCTCTGGGCATTGCAGCTGCCCCACCACCAGCCTGGCCCCACCGCCACACGGTTGGCAAATCTCAGCTGACCTTCTCTTTCTTCCCCCAATTTTCCAGTCCTCCCCGGGGGTGGTTTATTTTTCCTTTTGCTTTCCAAACAACCACATGTGTGAAATGGAAGCCATGGCTGGATCCATCAGCCGCCATCCTACATTTGCAGAAGTTGTTTTCTCACTGATGGATGAGCGTTGTTTGGTGATCCCCATCCCTCTGGTCTCCAAGTTCTGACAGGCGGTTTTCCCAAATTAGCTGATATCCGGCTACAGTAGTTACAAAGAGTTTCAAGATTTACACACACACACACGCACACACACAAAATTGCTCTAAATACCTGATGAAATTTTGGCAAAGCTGCTTCATCCCCTCCAGCTGGCAGGGGGACGCAGGCAGCACGGCACAACCCACGCTGACCCCCAGGGGACCCTTCCCCACTGGAGCCCCAGACCCCAGCACGCTGAGCCCCGCATCCTCAGTTGTTTTCAATCTGCTCGATGTCTATTTCTCCATCCAGCTGGAAGGGGCTCTGGGTGCCCGCCCCACCGCCCTGCCACGGGGTCCCATCTTCCTCCTTCCCACCACCCTCATCGGACTCCTCACAGGACAGGTCGTCCCGGCTCGCCCCACGCTCCTCGCCCCGTGTGCGTGGCTCTGGCACTGGGGTGCAGGCGGGGGTCCTGCCCGGCATCACCTCCGGGGAGTGGGGAGCTGTGGTCCATGGTTGGGTGGTGGGGAGCCGCTGAGTGTTGTCCTCTGCCGCGTTGCTAAGGCTGCTAAGGCTGTTGAAGGTCTGGCGGTTCTGTGGAAGGAAGGGGAGAGAGGAGCTAAGATGGGTGCAGGGTGTAAAGGATCAACAAAAACCACTTTGTGGCTTTCTGTGGTCAGCTTCTTGGGCATTCTGTGCTCCTTCCAGAAGGCAAATCTCTGTGCTGTTTCCAAGGCTTTCGTTTGAGAGCCCGGGCCAACCCAAAGCTGGAGGACAGAGAGGGCTGCTGCTGCCTGCTGGGGACATCCCGCTACCCAAAGATCAGCCTTGCTCCCAACATCCTGATCCATGATACCAGCAAAATGCAGCACACTTGCCTGAGGCTTTTAATTCTCATGTACTTTTCATATCCAGGTAAGCTGGGAGTAACTACCAAAACAACTTACCCCAGACTCTAAATGAAGCTAAATCATCCCTTGTTGTATCTCCTGAGAAGCTCAGGCTGAAATCGCAGCTACTTTGCACTCCAGTTACTTGCCTCATAATCAACAGGTGCTGCACTAGTGAAGCACAGCGTACAAGAAGCCATTGCAAAGACTAGATGGACTAGATGACCCTGAAAGTCTCTCCCAGCTCAAAGAATTCTATGATTCTGTGACTCTAAGATAAGGGTTGCTCCCTCTCATCAGTGCCATCTGTGGCTCTCACCCATCCCAGCGCACATCACAGGTACGCAGCCCCAGCTCATCCCTTCCCTGTTTTTAACACAACCTTGTCATTCCATGTGCTCTGCCTTGCAGGGGCTGAGTGTACAACAGTTTCAAGCAGAGATCTGCAAGCTATGGTTAATGGACAACATGTAATTAACACAGAACTTGCAGGCGGCCTGAGGACACATGAGAAGTATTTTCTAAGTACCTCAGAAAAATTCGCAAGCGTGTTTCCAAAAGTGATTTAGGCACTTGAAAGCCTAAGTCTCCTGAAAGTCAACAGCACTCTCAGAAGAGCAAATCCCTTCCACAAACAAAGCCCTGGCACTCAAGGAACATTTATTTCCATTTGTTTCCAAGCTTGGACACAATTCAGAGAAGAGTCGTGAATGCAGTGAAAATGAAGCATCAAAGTCCTCTGTACTGGCCAAAGAGAGAAGCTTAGTGCAAGGTGGTGCAAGCCCTCCTGGCATCAGCACCATGCAGAGCCTCTCCTCCATCCCTGCTAACCTCAGGGCTCCAATGAGCCTCTCCCAAAGCTGCCTGCTAACACCAGCTCAGAAGAGGAAGTTAGGCTTCTGCAGCAGTTCAGAGGTCTGAGGAGCATTCAAAGCAACCCCCGAGGGAGAGGAAGAAAATGAGATGTTAAAGAAAGCACCTGAAAAGTTGTTTACGAAAATAAGGAGTTCTTGACAACTTAAAATGAGCTGCAAAGCTGGAATCCACTGTCACCAGCCAACCACCAGAGCAAAGACCTTATGGCATGGCTCAGACTGTGCAGGGATGCTCCACAGCACTCCCCATCAGGCAGGGAGCAGATGAACAGCTAAAGGTTCCAAGAAAGAGCCCAAAGCAAATTCCATCCACAGTGATTGCCCTACACAGGGCCACCAAGGACAGCAGGTCAACCAGCAACAGCCCTACCTGCTTCTGCAGTCACTTGAATTCTCTCTTCCAGTTTTTACAGGGGACCTGGGGGGAAAGGAGCTGCAGGAAGGGACTCACCTCCTACATTTAACCTTTTCCATAGGTTTTGGTGCAAGTTTCCATAGGTTTTCCCTCCCTCCCCCCCTGCTGCCTGCATGCCTAGCAGCCAGGGATGCAGTCTGAATTCTGGCAGCCCCTGCAGCGAGAAAGCTGGAGAAATTCCTCGGGAACATTTCTTCGTAACACTCTTCCCCTCATAAAATAAGGGCCTGTGAGTTTTTCCCCGAAACACATCTCCCTCAAATAAGGAGATCCCGGTGCATATGCTAGAATAAATATTAGCACGACCGTGATCCCCGTGGCGAAACGCTTGGAACGGCTTTTGCACAAACACCTTCTTTTCCACCCTGCCAGGTTATTGCTGCAATTTTCCCAGTGAAGGTGCAACGCTACGAGCTGTCAGCGATCCCAGCCCTACCTACTGAGCTGTCATCACCTCCCATTAGCACAGTGCGCTCCAGTTTCTTCAGAATGCTGCAGACAACCTGGGCTGAGAAGGGAGTGGAGGAGCTCAGGGGACCAGCGCCAGCCTCCTCAGCCCCGCCATGCTTTTGTGGAACAAAGCTACGGGCACCTCGCTGCCCTGCTCTGTTTTAAGCCACTCTCTGAGCCTGTTGCTGTGGGGTACCTTCACCCACAGCCTTGATGGCTATCTATCTGCTGCTTCGATCTCTTGTAGGATGGCAAAGTGCGACGTGGCACCGGCATCCTGCACGTCCCATGCTTGTGCTGCCAAAGAGAACATCCATTGCTTCAGACTGAGAAATGGGTTTCCTGCCACGATTCAGATCAGGAATATACACAACACTCAGATTCAATACTCGACCAGTTCTTCTCCGACTCCATTCCTAAGCTGATCTCCCCAGGGCTGACTTTATGGAGAGCTGCCATCTGCCTCCCCAAGGGGCTGAGCCATGCCAAGCCCAGCCTTCAAAACCAACACCGCCATCGGGGCTGCAAAGCCATCACCAGCACCGCCTGTGCCAGAGAGAGCTCCTGGTGATGGATGAAGTGTCAGGGGAGAAACGGCCAAAATACCGGAGGAAAAAAAACACAGCGGGCAGTTATAGGTAGATGAAATGCAAACAGCTCTGTACATCCGGAGCTGGGCCATAGGCAGTTGTGTGTCAGGGAGCTCAAACCCATCCACTATTTTTTTTTTGCGATGCATCTATCGAGGCATTGAGATGGTGGTGGGCAGAGCTCCAGCTGTGCCGTGTTGCAGGCATGGGATGGCCAGCAGGGCAAGGGAAAGAAGCGGAAGCAAGTTTCCATTCCAAGGAGCTGGCCATCCCTCAGACATTACTGAGCTGTGAGATTTGCTTCGTTCCCCAGCAATGAGTCTGTTTGGAGGCACCCAGCTCTTCGTGTGCTCAAACAGGCCCAGGAGAGCCAGTAGGAGGGCGTTCAGTGCTCATTACCAAAACCACAAGCAATCATGTATGCCAGCTTCAAAGCAAACCGGTACAAAATGCAAAGGCAGCCTGCACAGCTCTGCTGCTCTATTATAGCCTTGTTTATCCCTCAAGCCCCTCTGGCCAGATACTTATCTGGGTTGGAGACAAGGAGATGCTGGAAAACAAACCTACAAGAAGAACCAACAGTCGTCCTTGAGGGTGCTGAAATTCCAGCTGTACCGCAGGCAGCACCAAAACTCTGTGAGCCCACCCCCACCCATGGCAGCTTCTGGGGGCTCGAGTTGCTCCCACTTCCACAACACAGGCTAATATTAAACAATCAGATGCTGCATGCATGTTGGAACTGCCCTCTGAGAGAGGTTCTTCCTGGTAGGGATGGCTCTGGATGGCTGATTGTCTGCCTTTGTTTTCCACCCAGCTACTTGCCCCGTTACCTCCATTGCAAAACAGCGATTCACTTTTTGCAGCCACCCTGCATGTATTTTGTCAGCATCCAGGCGGCTGTGACAACACACCTGGCAGGGATGAGTGCAGGATGTCACAGTTTGCTTCCCAACCTCTCATTTTATGACAGACACCAGCATTTCAGTGTTTGTGCGGATGCTGCACTGAAATTCCACAGCTTTAGCATTTAATTTTGCTTTTATTCTGCTTGGTGTGTAAAACAGCTTTCACAAGCATGCTGAGAAATATCTATTATCCTACTGGGTTGCTTCACACCACATTAATAGACCAAAAATAAAGAAAAAAAGGGGAGTTTGATTAAGCCTTGAATATTAACACTGCCTTTGAGAGTGGTTTCACTGGTAGCTTTACTCTCACATTGGAGCTCTGTAACTGCCCCAGCCGTAGTGTGGGTTTGTAATGGGTTTTCACAAATGGCAACTGAGCCCATGGCATGGAACTGGGTGGGCTTCAAGGTCTCTTCCAACCCAACCATTCTGTGATTCCATGACTCTATGAGATGCTGCTGTAGGAGCTGTCAGTGGGAATGCTCTGCTGCTACAGAGCCCCTAGGAAGTGCTAGAGAGGTGCAATCCCAAAATCCAGGAGGGATGAGCACAGCTATGCCTGGGATCAGAGCAGTGCTGCTGCCCAGGGATCACCCACCTCATGCACAGCAGCCTCAGCGAAGCCTCCCAGCTTCATATCCATTCATAACAATAATTGGAGGAAATCTTCACTTCCTGCCAAGAACAAATATTTTCCCTAGCAGACACTGAACGCTTCAGTATGAGCTGGAGAGATCCACTCACTTGGGTCATTGTGCAACCCTACCAGCCATGAGCTGGTAATAAAGATGTGTGTCTTTATTCCCAGTTGCTCACCGTGCCCATGGCTCCATCCCACATACGGCAGAGCAGAGCTGAAATGTACACAGCTACACACGGTTTGGAAGTGGTGGCTTTCCCATGCAGCCCCTCCAGCTTCTCCTCTGCTTGGCAGGAACCCCGAGGCTGTTCTGTGCTTCAATCCATACCCTCAAAGCCACAGGAAGGCAGGTGACTGCTAATATCAAAGCATCACCTGGCTTCCCCTCCTCTTTAAAACCAGCTTCCATTTCCTCATTACCTTCCTGGCTCTGCCAGCTCCTGTTGATGCCTCAGCATCGGAGTGGGTGAGGGTCAAGATGGACCAATGGGGTCCTTTGGCTGCAGGGCAATGCTTGCACGAGGGCAAATGTGAGCACCAGTGAAAAAAGAGCTTCCTTGGCCCTTGCTTGTATAAAAGGAAGCTGTGGAAAATGGTTTGAGAAAGCAGAACATTTTCCAAGTGAGTCAACATGGCTATGTCCAATACTATATTTTGCACAGTCACGTACTGTAGAGGCAGCGTCTGCCAAAAAATCAGCGCAGTGGAGCAAAACTGAAGAGGAGGGTGATGGGCTCATTTCTGTTCCCGACATGGCCCTGAGCCAGAGCCATCGAGACCATCACAAAGCTCGGCCCATTCCCTGCCCAGCTGGGACCCAGGGATG